GATTCAATTTGGATCAGGAGGAAAAGAGCAAGGACAGTTTAACACGCCTTGGGGTATTGCTGTGAATGATAAAAGCAGGACCCTTGCTATTGCTGATTTATACAATAAGAGAGTTCAGATGTTTAGCTTTGATGGGAATTTCCTCAGAGAGATAGCATTGGAAGCTCAAACGGCTTCGCTGGCTTTTACCGAGTCTGGTGACCTCCTTATCTCTGTCGCTCGTAGAGACAATAAACTTTCCCTGTACACTGAGTGTGGCCAATTCATTCGATACATCAGCGATGAACATGTGAAGACACCATTGCACATGTCTGTTGGGAGTGATGGTCGCATAATCACATGTGACAGGAAAGACAAAACAATCAAAGTTCTCAGTCCTGATGGGAAAAACCTTCTTCAGTCGTTCAGTGCTCCTGGTTGTGATGCGAAGCCATGGTTTGCTGTTTATCAGCAGGAAAAATTTTTTGTCTCTTATCCAATGGCTAACCGTGTCATGGTATTTAACAACTTAGGGGAGTATCTATATGACATTGGCAGTCAGGGAACTGGTGATGGGCAGTTCTCGGGTCCCACTGGTCTCGCTATTGACAAATTTGACCGTTTGATCGTTTGCGATGCGCGGAAAAGAAGACTGCAATTGTTCACACTCGACGGAAAATATGTCGCTAAGGTAGCCGGGAGTTTTTTTGACCATAATAGCAATCTTCTTGGTTGTGCCGTGTCTAATACTGGACATTTGTTTGTTACAGATTTGAACAAACACTGTATTTATGTTTTCAAGTACTAAGCGCTGTGTGCAAATTTAACACCTTCTGAACAGGGATATTAAAAAATTGTTTCTCAGGCATTGATTTAGGGTTGATTATTGTTAACACTCTTGATTAATCCAGTTTTGTGGCTGAGCGTTAAAACTTGAACTGAACATATGTACATATACATTCCGTGAGCTGATTATATTTTACCGTGACGTTTTATTTTGCTTTGCCGTTGGACTTGTGGACTACCGTAGGATAATCAATTTGTTAATACTGATTTTCTCCACCAAAAAATACCTTGAAAAGTGGACTCTACTAGGAGAGAAATACTGATTTAATTGATTAGATAGGGAAATAGACCTTTTTTTGAACAGTAAGAGAGAGAAAGAATACGTAGAATCGTGTGTTTTGGCGAATGAGAAAATTGACATGAACGTCGGACAGAAAAGTCGAAAAATTTACTAAGACATTTACTGGATGGTAAATGCAGTTAATGGAACATGAAGCCCCAGGAGGGGTAGGCTAAGGTAACCTACCCGAATATATGCTCGGTTGTATCATTAAAGCCTTATTCAAGAATGAAAGCACGCTAATTTTAAGATACAAAAAAAAGCTGTTCATGGCTGGAACCAAGGAACGGACCATTAGAAAAGTTATTGAGGGGGGGGGGACGAGCAAAGAACAAAAAAAATACTCGCGCAAGGGAAAATTAAATGAAAAAAATTCATGTACTCCAATTAACCCTAAAAAATATTCACGCTAAGGCCTAAAAAAAAAATTCATACAAGGAATTTGATAACGAAAAAAAAATTCCTGCGGCTCAAAAATTCCCCCCCCCCATAACTTTTCTAATGGTCCGTCCCTAATTTGTAGTAGTTTGTCATCATATTTTTTCTTAGCATCGCGCAGATTGGTCCCTGTCTCAAGGCTCTATTCATGGCTAGACTTTTATCACGATAAGATTAGGTAGCTTATAGTGCAACTGTATCTATTGGTCGAGATTTGAGACACTGTCTGGCTATAAAAGTTCTGCTATTTCACACCTGGTCGTTATTGATCTAGCTTGCACGAAGGCAAACAGTTACAGTAATTTTGTTACCCGCCCTCCCTCTTTTTGGAGGAGTTTTGTTGTGTTGTTTAAAGATAAGAGCAGGTAAAACGCGTAAGCGTATCAAATCATTATCAAACAAAAAATGGTTCGATAAAGAATGTCGTTTGAAAAGGCACGAATTACGAAAACTAGCAAACAAGAAACATCAAGACCCTTTGAATACTATCATACGTGGGCAATACCATGATACTCTGGCCCATTACAAGAAATTACTTAATTCTAAGAAGAATGATTATTCCAATTCCAAGATCTTCTGAGCTAGAAAAAACTGCAGACAATTCAGACGCGAAAACTCTCTGGCAATGCCTCAAATCGATGGACGACATTAGAAAAGGAGAGGATGTTCCATCAATCTCGGAAAAAAATTGGCTACAATATTGCCACAATCTTCATTCAAATGAACCTCTTAACCCAGCGCAGGAAAACATTTGCAATAAGCTACGACAAAATGAATGGCATAGTCAACACTCTCGTCCTTTAGATTTCATGATAACTGAAAGAGAAATACGTAAAGCTGCGGAAAAGTTAAAGAATAATAAACCACCATTTTCGGATAAAATTAGAAATGAAATGATAAAAGCTAGTATTGATACACTGATGCCCGTATATGAAAAATTACTTAATTCAATTCTTAACCAAGGGACCATGCCACAGACATGGTGTGGTGGTCTTATGACTCCCATTTATAAATCGGGCGGACGAAGCGATCCGGCAAACTACCGGGGTATCTGTCTCCAGCTGCCTGGGAAAACTATTTTGTTCTATCTTAAACCAACGACTTCTCAAGTATATCGTTTCTTTGAATATACTCCACAAATCTTAAATTGCTGCAAATTGATGTTAGTGGTTCTTTTTATAACCTAATTAAAAGCTTATATCACAACTCTTCCTGCTCAATTAAAATTGCTCAACAACAGACGCGATCATTCGGTTATGCGAGAGGTATGCGGCAAGGCTGCATCTTAAGTCTGCTGCTTTTTAATCTTTATATTAACGACCTACCTTTCGCATTGGAAAATACATTATCTGATCCTTTTGTTTTGCCAAACGGTGCAAAACTAAATTCTATATAATATGCAGACGATTTAATCATTTTATCACGATCCAAAACAGGACTACAAAATTGCCTCGATAAACTATCTTCATTCTGTACTTCATGGTTGATGAAAATCAATCCCAAGAAAACAAAAATTATGGTTTTTCAGAAACCTGCGAGAAAAAAAATGCTGATTTTCACTTTTTCATAGATAGTCAAATAATTGATGTTGTACAAGAGTACACTTACTTAGGAACTCGAATGTCCTCATCGGGAAAATTTTCAGTGTCACGTGAACATCTCAAGGAGAAAGCTCTTCATGCCCTCTTCAGCTTGAGACGACACACGAATCTTAGCAAACTAAAAGCAGCTCTCGCCTGTAAAATATTCGATACTATGATCTCCCCTATTCTAACATACAGCAGTGAAATTTGGGGTGTGTATGCCAAACCAGATTTTAAGACCTGCGACGGCTCACGTACAAATCGAGAAGGCACACCTTCAATTTTGTAAACGATACTTGGAGGTAAACAACAAAGCTTCTAATCCAGCTTGTAGAGCAATGCTTGGTCGTTTTCCTTTAAATGTCACTATCATCAAAAAATTCTCAGATACAAGTCATTTTGTATATATAGTCTAACCGTTCAGCGCTCCTGGTTGTGATGCGGAGCCACGGTGTGTTGTTTATCAGCAGGACAAAATTTTTGTCTCTTATCCAGACGCTAACCGTGTTATGGTATTTAACAGGGGAGTATCTATATGACGTTGGCACTGAGGGATCTGGTGATGGGCAGTTAAGGGTTCCGTTTGGTCTCGCTATTGACAAGTTTAACCGTTTGATTGTTTGTGATTGGAGAAACAGGAGAATGCAACTTTTCACTCTTGACGGAAAATATGTTGCTAAGATGGCCGGGAGTTTTTTTGACCGTAATGGTCAAATTTTTGGTTGTGCCGTGTCAGATACTGGACGTTTGTTTGTTACAGATAAAAAAAAACACTGTATTTATGTTTTTAATTAACACTGTGTGAAAATTTAACACCTTCTATACAGGGACCTTGAAAATATTGTTTCTCAGGTATTGGTTATTGTCAAGTACAATTCTCTGTAACAGTCAAGCAAATGAAATGGAAAATTTTGACCCCCCCCTTAAATTTTACATGCAATTAGTCTTAGATATTTTGGGGGGTGTCTAAAAATGCTCTTTGTTTGGGTTGCTACTTCATTGTAGACATGGTAACACCAATTGTTTGTTGGTGGCAAAAAACCTAATATTTAACTCAGAAACTGTTGTAAAAAGTGCAAAATGTGTAGCTCTGTTTCTCAAGTCCATTAAAACGCTACAACCCAACACTTGGAGCAGATATAATACCATCATTCTAGTTTACATTTATGTATATTGCTCTTTATTATATCAAATTTGCGTAGCATAAACGGTTAATCAACTACATAGAGTTTCAGCCATTTGAGTTGATGCTAAAATATGGTTATCCTTTCCTTGAATTTTTCCAAAAGTACATCAGTTCCAAAGCTAAAACTAAGCAGGCAGTTTACACAGATATTCTAGTTACTAAGTCTGTAAAAATCTCTGCGGGGCGGGCTCTTCTGTTTCCAAATTAACGAACAAACCCCAAATTTCAGTTTTTGTATATTTCATCGCAGTTGACAATTTATCTTCTCGCCAACAAAGTATTGTTTTCGCTTTTCGTCGCTGTGACTCTGGAATTTGACGCTGGATAGGTCGACCTGACTGCTCTTCAATTTCGTTTTAATCAGCCCCCTGAGTGTTCAATGAAAAACCGCTCGTTGTAGGTTTCACTTCAGGCCCGTTATGGTCCGTTATGTACTGACGAAAGTGTTAAGAGGTGTAAAAGCCCTTCAAACACGCAAAAAATCTGGTAATGGTTTTGAAAACTTACTCCTGCGAGGACTTGCAAGCCATTCTGAAAATTTTTAAGGTAAACTTTGTTGTTGTTGTTGTTGTTACATAATCAGCTCGACGTACGGAAGAATTAAGCTTATAATTTCCTTAAATTTGCAAGGAAACTTCGGAGAACCATAATAATTTCAAACCAAAGTTTGTGGCTTTTTTTGTCCCTGCCGGTATGGCATTTTCTGTTGCTTCGTCGGCAGAAAGCTGGCGAAATCTACTTTTTTCCGCCGCTTTGTCAGGGAGAAATTTATTTGTTTTCCATATAAGGTCAAACTAAAGTACATGAGTTGATAACCGAGATTGAGTGAGCCAATCAAAATGCTAGGAATGCAATATCCAAGGTTGAAAATTTAATAATACTGGCTTTCAGTGTTTTAAACAATATCGATCAAAATAAGGCTTACTTTACGGTTTTCTCCACTTCACCTCTTGTAGCGTAGTATTTATATTCAACAAACACTCGGTTGCTCGAACCATCTCATGTGCCCGGTTGTGCTGTTTCCCCTTGTAATCCATTGTATGTCAACTCAGTCACTTATGCTCTTGTCACTGGAAACCTCCACACCCCCCTCCTCCCCCCGCCAACTCTGGGTGGAGACGTGAGGCATACGTGGGGATTTGCAAGTGCTTAGATGACGTACCAACCCCCAGGGGGTGGGGGCATAATTCACTTTAGACAATTTATATTTTAGACGGGGAGTGGTCTCTAGTCCGAAGCACATGGTCGACTCATTCTCGTCCCCAGAGTCTCCTGGGGGCCTGAGCACGAGGACCAGGAGGCTCTGGGGACACGGGATTTAAAGTCCTAAATTTAGGACTTTCGGCAGGAGCCCATTTGGTGGGCTCCTAGTGAAGGTAATCGCGACGTTTCTACATGTACCTATCTGCAAACTTTACGGGCTCAGCAAATTTCGGAAAGGTATTATCGATGAAGTTGACTTCCTACTCTGCTTT